AAAAACCTGTGTAAAATGTCTTGACATTTTCCCATTTTCCACCAGAAAATAAAAGCAATACCAAAAAAAAAAAAAAAAAAAAAAAACCAAAAACCTTTGGGATGAGTTCATGCCTGGAATGTTTCAGAAAAAAAAAAAAAATCACAGAAGATTATATTTCAAAAGGGAGTGATGAATAATGGAAAGTATGAACTGCGAAGTTCTATTATATCAGTTGTATTTAGGTTAACCACATTTAGTTTTTTTAAGCTCATAAATCTTTAAGAAATGCTAGTCACATGACAGACTTATTTGTAAATTTACATAATGCCCTGAAGGAGCCATGGATTGTTGCATTCTGTGGTGACTCATGAGCATCTCTGGTTCAGGCTGCCAGGACGGAGAAAGCAAGCTGAGCAGTGTGATCTTGTATGAACTGTGATTGAATTTCCAGCAGAGTTATCCTCAGGGCAATCCACTGCATTTTTAAACTCACTGTGATATGAAAACTAAAAAGAGCATGATGTAAAGCAGACTTTAAGTTTTGAAGGTAAAGGTTTTTTTCATTCTGTTAAAACTGAAAATTACACAGTAAAAGCATATACATACAGGTGTATCTTATATCTTAGAATCAGTTGTCCACTATATTCCAATTAGTTATTCCCCCAAAAGCATACAAAAAGGCTTTCAGACAATACATTCTTTTAATTAATAAAAATACTACTACTACTTAATTTCACTTCCAAAGTCAAGAACCACTGACTTGACTCAATAGTTCTCATTCTGTAAATATTAGTAAACGTGCATACATGCTACACTTTAGTATAACGTATGCATTTTGAAATTGTATTCCTTGTTCTAAGTCAATGTAAAAATAAGCCTGCAGTTAACTGAAAAGCCCTGTCAAGAGATGCTGTCTATTTTTTAATTCCACTGACAAAACAAACAGATTTAAGATATATTTAACTGAAGTCTTATCAATGATTAAATATATCATGAGTGACAACATATGGTAGTAGACCAATTAAAAAATAGTTACTTGGGTTCCTGTTTATCTGTCAAGAGGACTGATTTATCCGCTGTCCACAAATGAACATCAGAAGCAACCTAATGACATTTTAATAGAAGGAAGCTTGACAAAATACTCACAGATGGTATTCTGGGTAATGATCCAGACAGCAACAATCTCTGTAATGACTTATGGTATCTATTTACCTGGCCTCAAACAAAGGGGGGAAAAAAGCTAAAATGATTCAATTGGCCTAGGCTGATCTGGCACTGTAAACGTTTAAATCACTGAAGCAGCCCATTCGTTTCTGCAGCGGGAGAAAACATGAAATTGATTAAAACAGCATAAATACGGCAGGAAAATCTTCCTCCTCCGCAGCCAGTTTGGGAATGGAAACATACCTAGTTCTCATGGTCCATTTGTTTTTCTGTTGTTGCTCTGGTCAGTTCTGGTGAAATTATGTCTTTTAAAGCAAAAGGGTCTCACAGCATCAAGGGGCCACTCCTAGCATGCCTCTTCTCAAGGAGTGGCGATCTGCTTTCAGAACAAGGAAAATGAGAGTAATGGAGGTTTTATGGTGTTATGAAGGACTGTTGGGTGCCCTTAAAATCTGCCTTTTTCTTTATATTGATATGGACCATGATACTGAGCTTACGATGACTGTTTTTTCCCCTTTCTTTTACAACTTAAGTCCAAACAGCTGCCATAAACCACAAGGAGCATATCTCCTGTTTTTTTTCACTATTAAAAAAAAAAAATAGTTCTAAAACCTGAAGAAAATTATTTGTACCATATAAAGTTCTGTTTCAGATACTCTAAGGTCCATAGAAGGTACAAGTAAATGGAAATGGAGGTCTCCTGGAGATTTTCATAAATAACTAAACATATAATGGAAAACTCTTACAACAAATAACAAAAAGCTACTCCCACTGGAATGGAAAAGGTCTGTTGAACTTTCTCTCCCAGACTCAACCATTGTCATACTTCTACTGTTGAAAGAAGCACTGGGAAAACTTGTTGAACTACTGCTTCATAGACATCGGTCCCAATAATAAATAGGATAGTTGAACTTCCAATCAGCTCAGCATCAGTGTCATGCAGTATGAATAAAGGGGTCAATGCAATCTGCTCAAGAGGAACTAGGTGTGATGCTGGACAGTTTGCCATGGTATTGTACAACAGAGAAGCATCATTATACTGAGGTATACAGGTGTTGGTGACAGGCAAGACTAATATCCTGAGGTAACAGTTATGATTTTTGCATCCAGCCCTGCTGTTTTCAAACTATTCTATGGTGGAGCCGTACTTCTGGCTTTTCAAGTACTTTTAGATGCTCTGGAAGCATTTGTGGCAAAGTGGCGCTGTTTTCTTTCAGATGTGTTCAGTATTTAGGTGAATTGCTGTGGACAGTTTTAGTACTGTGAACTGCTGAGCCCCACACAGTGCCATTCAGTTAGTCTGTAAAGATCTGCAAGGCTCACTAGAGAGAACATTTGCAGCTGGTACAAATCTGCTGTTCCTTCCCTAGTGACAGCAGCTACAAGACTCTCTTCTTGTGAAGCAAGTGCTTTACATTTACAAGCACAGTTCACCAATTTCTGGTTTGGAGGGACTGATCTAATTTCCTGAGAGTCTCTGTGCAAACCTCAGAAAGATTTGCCTCATAAGACATCTGGCCGGGTCTAGTGTATGGCACTCCCAGTGCTCAGACCTTCACCCTGTGCAAGATTGGAATGTTGGCTTTACAAGTTTTTACTAACTGCTGACAGACATGGGGAGAGAGGAGCTCTGGTAGCCAGGGTTAGATTAAAATCTGTATGTTCACTCCCTCCATTCTGGAGGAAGCTAAATACATGTTTGTGCTGTTATTGCCTGCCCAGAAACCCAGTGTTTATCTCTTTAGGCTGGCACGTGGAAAACAATCTGTGAGAACAAACCTGTGTGCAGATAATCAGTGATACACTGAGGTTACCAAAGTTAACAGAACAAAATGCTGTGTCCTCCCATACTTAACCTGACCTTCTGACATCTAGCAGCCTTTTAAAAGTACTCATACTTGAAGTGAAGTCCTCTGCTAATCTGTAGCCTTGACTCCACAAAACCTAAGGCTGTGATGGGAAAATCGTCACCAAGAGTATTACAGGGTAAGAAGAACAAGAGGTGGGAAGTCAGGTGCAGGAAGGATATAAGGAAAAATGAAATGTGTTAAAGGACATCAAAGGCTGATTAGTTCCCAAAGATAATGCTTTGGAGAAAACTTCCCCTTCTATTACCTGCACACTTAAACTATCGCTAAATCACCAATTGCTGAACTTTTTTTAAAGTTAAAGCAAAGACTACTTATATATGAAGATACAAGAAATACTGATTTTAAAAGCGGGTGTTTGTTTTTTCCTGCTTGCTAACTCTTCTTTAATTCTACATACTAGGCAACATCTTAGCAGGAACTAAAATGTTCAAAGTATTCATACATTTGATATATATGACCTAGAATGAATGTTCCCTCTCAAGTGACAGAGTGAGGCTTGCAAATTTTTAAGGCCATAATGAATTGAACAGGATGCTCAGTCAAGGTGTTTCCAAAATGTCACACATTAGCTCGTCAAGGTACATTTAAGCCAGTGGATTAATTAACATGAACATTAGAAGCACACTGGAATAATGACAGTCAATTAATCAGACTACTTTAGCTGAATTTGATATTTATCTGTGATCAAAGTCTTTAAATACTTAGGTCCTTTGTTTGACACTAGTGTTTGGGACATGTTCAATACGCCTCAGGAATTCCCTTCTTGAAAGAGAAAGTTCAATACGCCTCAGGAATTCCCTTCTTGAAAGAGAAAGTAAGATCTCAAGCAGTAATCAACCCCATTGAGATACTGCTCTATAATACTCTATAAATACAACCCTTCACCCCCACCCCCTTCTACCATGGGCACCATTCAAGCCAGAAATATATATATATATATATATTCTTACAACTTTGGGGGAGTACAAATTTCTGTCAGAGTCTAATTTTTGGTAACAAGTTGTATATTAATGATCTTATTATTCTAATTAAACTGTTATTTCATCACATCTCTCCTTACCTGTCTATATAGATGTCAAATATGAAGCAAACCCTGAATGGTGTTTTTATACTTCCAGGTTATTGAGTTAATTCCTTATAGCAATAATTAATATAAAGGTCATAATCTGGCCAGATTAAAGGAATATTCACACAAATCAAAATCCTCCTTGAAGTACTTTTGATGGTCATTTTCGCAACCTGAACTGGAGATTGAATCTAAAGAGTGTTATTTGTTTGGTTGTTCCAAAGGCACATCTACCATACCGTAATGAACATTTCTGCTTAGAACACTGACGTAACTTTTTCAGTGGCTTTCCTTTTGGCAATTTGGTATTTCCTTTCTTACCTATATTCTGAAGTAGTTTTCAGATAATATGGTCCTTTAAAACTCAGAGGAACACAGGATGACAAAGAGAAAAAAAAATTCTAAATACAACTAAATCATGAAGTTAGCTTGTTTCAGAAGTTGCTTTTGAATTTTTCTTACCTGTAAGAGCTATTCAGCCATGCTTTTAATTTTAATACATTTAAATAATGTGTGCAGTTAATTTTTTATTTTTATATTTTTTTTACATGTTCATTGAAATGGGAGCTGCATGTACAATAGTTGCATTCACAAGCAATTTGTCCAGGTTTTGTGTGCTATGTATGATGTAGTATGTTTTCTTCAAGCGTATACTTTTTTTGGAAACAGTTATTCTGTGCAGACTCAACTGATGTCCTATTAGTTCAGTTTCTCTCCCTTTTCTTTCTTAAAAGTTGAGCAGCAGTCACATACTAAATAAGGAAAACGTAAGTCTTAACATTTATAAAGGGGTTTGCTTGCATTGCTTATGATCAAATCAGAGTGGCATAGGCTATGCCATTAAGTTTTCCTGGTCTATTGTCAAGATTCCATTGCACATTAATAACCAATGTTAGAATAAAAAGGCACAGAAGAGATATATTTTACTTTATATTTTATTATAATAGAAGGGGAAAAAAAACATCTAAAAAGCACATTTCATGGAGCACCATATTGTAACAAAATTTTGCTGGCTCTCCTACAAAGTGTATTTTGACATTTAAACAATGACACACACGTAATCAGTACACACAGGCATCTACACCCCAGCAAACTCATTAACAACTCCAAAGAGAACCCCTTTCTAAATACAGAAACACTAAGGTGCACAGAAGAATGCCAGTGTGAGGGCATCTGAACACCAACTGAGTTAATTACTCTTTTGTTAGCGCTCTTCATAAACACACAAGCATTCATGTCTCACCCCACCCTTCTTCTTTGAAGCCTCCAGACTGGGTCCCTAGCTCACTGAATGTGTATCCAGCACTGACATGGTGTAGAGTTGAACAAAACTGGCCAATATTCCCTACCTGATACCTCTTATTGCTTTGGTTATAGTACTGAATGAAAGTCATAAAAACCTTTAAACCTACACTCCACACCACAGAAAAGCCACTTTCACACATACAGAAACATAACCTCCATCCCCATGCATACCTGAATGAATCACTGATACATTTTTGAGAAGCTCTGTGAGTTTTCCCACCAAGATCACCTTCATAAAAATGACTGCATTTTCAAAGTGTTCAGACAGTTGTTCAACAATATATTTTGGAATATATTTCCTTCTTTTAAAGGATAGGGCATGTTTTCCTGCTGCCTTAAATTTATGTCATTGTCTACATAAGCAACAGCAAAATGCTATCGTTTCCATCTGTACAAAAAGTTTTACATTCATTTTATACAGTGCTAAATAATGATGCTAAGCACAGAACAATGTAGAATGATAGCCCAGAATAACTATTTACCTTGCTCAAAATGAGAAAGTACTGGAAGCTTCCCATACTAATGCTGAGGCACAGTACTGGAGTCTCTATTATGTACACAAGCTTTCCAGAACACTTTCAGGCACCTATTTTGTGAGCTGTTGCTCGATATGTATGTCACACTGAAGCACCTCAAGTAATATGGTTTAGTGCCCTCAAACAGTGAGAGTAAGAGACAAAAGCGGACCTAGCCTCATAGTAGATTAGACCAACTGTGAAACACAACGCTAGCAAGATAGTAAAATTTCTACCTGGACCCAAAACAACCCAGTTATATGATAATTTCAGGTGTCTGACATACTTCCACTTCTTACATTAACTAGAGACAATGTATGAAGCTTAATTTAAAACCTTGCCTCTAAAATGTTTAAATTTTGTCAACAAAAAATTGAAGAGCTTGGATGTATGTCATCCACTTACAGAAGATATTTTTTGCTTTAAGCCTATTTCTTTTTCAAAACATTTCCCCTTCTTTCTCACTGCAAATTTTCTGGGGAAATTTGAAGATTTACAAAACTTATTTTTGTCTTGATAGTCAGGCTGAACCATCTTTAAATTTTGGGCAAGGTAAGGCATTCATTCTGCCAAGAAATAAATTAAGTTATTGTGTATTTTTTCTTGTGGAAAATCCTTGTGGATTTCCCATTTAGAGCAGCCAGTTTTATAATTCCTTTATATTCTGTGATGAACAGGCATCTATGAATAACAAGGTACTGCACTAAGACAAAGTAATGGAAATCCAAAAGGAGGGAGAAAATGGACTTGAAAAATAACCGTGACTTTAGATATACAAAGGGCTATTAACTAAATGAATTACTAACTCAGATTTCCTCCTCCGAGCTAAAGGTATGTTTCAACAGCTGTGCTAAACATTTTGTTAGCATTTGGTAAATCCCAGATAAAACAGTTGAGACTTCATCTGTATGATGGAGAAAGAGAAAGAAAGCATAGTAGTTTAAGCTTTACAATGGATATGGAGTTGCTATGGATTTATGAAGTTTCAAATGACTAAGAATAGAATATAATAAGGAAAAGATGCTGTACTGGGTATACCAATGCATATTTTCAGTTGGACTAATGTCCACAGCTTTACTCACCTGAATAAAAGGAGAGTATAGAAAACAGAAGAGATTCAGAGACAGGCACAGAATATGGACCTGTATAAGAATGTGAATTATTGTTTTGGCTTAAGAAACAATAGCTATGTAAATTTCTATGTAGAATATAGCACTGATATACAGAAGAAAAACTGGAATCATTCCTGCTTGTACTGCTTTAGCGTACAAGAGGAAGAGATGAGAATGCCATCTGAGCAGCCAATTCAAATCTGAAAACAAATGTTTTTCTGTTTTAATTTGTTTTTAAACATTTTTTTTTTAATTATTATTTTAGAATTCACCACCTCAAGAAATATTTAGGTCTCACACTTCTGGATCAGCATCTCATAGGGATGAAACATTAGTGATCACATTAGACAAGATAGAAATAGCAAGGGCTGAAAAAAATTAAAATTCAGAAGAAATTATTGCACCTTCCCCTGAAGTATCCTATACAGTCAGAGGCAGGACACTGGATTAAATAAACTACATAATTTGGCTATGTTACTGGTTTTACAATAATAGATTTAAAATTTTTGGTTATATATCCCAGTTAGTCATGAAAAAGTATAGCAAACTTTCATACTGAGCAATGAGTTATAGTAACATGAATGGAAGGACATATAGTAACATTAATGAATGGAAGGACAGAATGGTGATTATTATTGGCCTTAGACACCATTTATGCATATATGTATGTATACAATATTCACATATATGTATACATACATAAGCACACACATTTTCTGAGAAACAGGGATCAACAGAAGGCCTGATTAAACCCCTCTTCTGACAGACTTTACCAGACATAAGTGCACTTGTGTATGCTTAACAGTGTGCAAAGGAAAATATGAGAAGAAAGAGAAATATGAACTTGAATATGATAGAAATCACTCATGTTACTGTCATTATTTTAGATCTGTGCTTGAAAATACATTTCCAAATATCTTGTATATTGGCTAACTTGACCAACAGCCAAGAAAAAAAAATAAGGGGACATCTTGAAAATTAAAATATTTATGTATGCATTTTCTGTTCTTCCCTGTGTTAGTACTAATATGTCATTTTCTTGATAACTGGCAGGATGAGAAAGTAAAAGAGCTGATTTGATTTTTGCCACTTACCCCGTTTATCTGTTTCATGTTTCTGCCAAAGTTGAGAAAAAACTTGGATAGTCCATTTCCTCTTATGGGTTTTCACTCTCAGCTCTATCAGTTTAGCTCATTGTAAACATGCCCTTTCATCAGGCTTGATTATATTATTTTTGTTTTAAAAATATCTAAATTTAATGTCTACTCTGAATTGACAGCATCTCTTTAAAGATACTTTAAATAATTCCTCAAACCCATTCTTATGAAAATTCTGTCATCTTTTACACTTATTCATGTTGATTCACACTATTTGTCCTCCCTGTTTCTCTGAGAAGGCTGTTGAGAACAGGAGTGAAACACAGACTATCATCTCATCCAACAGCAGAAGTGCAACTCATAAATTCTGAGGCTGCAAATCACTTAACTTTCAGCTAAACTAAGCTAGCTGAATCTATAAACTATATGTGGGTCATCTAAGACAGCAAAAATCAGCATGACTACATTTGACAAAGTAAATAACAGGATAGGTTTCCATTTCAGTGAGGTAATGTATGTTGTGTATAAGTTTCCCCATCGCCAAAATACATCTGTATGGTCGTTAACTCAAATAAAAAATAAAAACAAAAGAAAGAGAAATAAGTTACTTTTTAAAAGCTAAAAATGAAATTACATTTAAGCCTATTGCTAGACAGAAAGAGATCAGGGTGGGAGGGGAAGGGGGGAGGAGGGAAGAGGGAGGAAAACCAGAGAATATTGATAAACACGCTTCTGTAAGAACCGAGAGATGGCATCAGGAGAGTTTTGTCTCATGATACCACTTCTAAATGGTTCTCACTGTGTTGTTACAAATAGTCCAAGTTTTTCAGTTTTTGAAGTGGATCGTATAGGGTTTATTTGATCACCTTTCTCTTTTTTGGTACGACTTCAAAGATTTTAACATTTTTCTTGGCAGGCACAGGCCTACCTACTGGATGCAAATATGTAGATGGAATTACATAGTTAATATGCTGTGCAGAGGTGTCCATAGAGAGTACAAATACCAGCATACAATGTTTCATCTTGATCTGAGCAGCCATCTGCATGCATGATGCATTGCATGGTGGTTCCTGTAGTCTCTGAACAAGAAAATCTCTACCAGGAGGGGAGGCTTGCCACACTCGACTGCATTTCTATGCAAAGTAATTGCAAGCCCCTGGCTTCTCCAAAGTTGCTTGCATTGGCCACAGGAGGGTAAAGAAGCGTTTCTGATGAAATGCACGGTATTGCCTTTCCATAGATTGTCTTCCAGGCAGCAGAGCTTCCAGCTCACCCCAGGGCCGACACTTCATGAGATGGATTCTTCTGGGAGACAGCTCTTTCTTATCTCACCACTCTTCCTGCTCAACTGCAGCACCTTTTCGCAGGAGCCTCTTCACCTGTCCCATAGGGAGCGCAAGAGTGGGATATTTTTCTTCATACGATAATGTTTCTGTGGAGTTAGTTCTTTATTTTTTTTTAGTTTTCTTTTCCTAGTTAATGTTCATTTGACCTTTTTATCAAATGTGTTCTCCTGCAATGATCTGAAAAACCTTATTCAAACTAGCATGTTTTCATTTGTGTTTTGTTTTTGTTTTTTTCCCTTTTACATCACCTTAAAGGGACACACCTGTTGACGCATCTTCTTTCGGAAATGGATTTCATCTTTTGCTGAAGTTTTGTTCCAACCAAAGCCGAACCTCCTGCAGATTGTAGAAAAAGGGGCCTTTGCCTCCTAGATAGGCAATTTTTTGTCTCTGCACAATGCATACTCGCTCAAATGAAACCCCATAGGCCACATTGGCATTGTTGTCCATGCAATCAGCCACCACCTGACACTGAGGTGGCAAGGAGAAGCGCTCTAGGAGCTGGTGAGCAGCTGCGCATCGATCTTCCTGGTTTCTGTGTTTCTTAACTTCAAATGAAGAAGGAGAGATTCCAGGGGCAGCCCAGCCATCTGATGGGTGAGCCTCATCAATGTAGACCAACAGAAAGTCAGCCACACCAGAGAACTCTTCCACCAGCTTGCTGAAGGCCGACAGCTGGCTTGTGAATGGTGGTCAGGTAGCTGAACCGAAGTTAACCACCAGTGGCCGCTCAGAGTCGGCAAAATCCAGAAGGTGGCATTTGGTTCCACACTTGCCACCAACATTCTTCCAGCTGCTACTGCTGCCATCGCTGCCCTTGGCTATGTGGATTACACTGGAGTTTGGGGCTTCTCCTCCCAATTTGACCTGACAGCAGAACAAATGAAAATATAGCAAGTTAGTGTGACTTGCTTGTCCAGTATCCTTTATGATTACTGTATTCAAATCAATAGTTACCTGTTCAAATACAAACTGCCCACATGGACACTAGCATTGGGATTCTAGATAGAGCAAATCATCAATAACAGTAGCCTCAAAAAGTTCATCCTGTCCAACCCCACTCACAGAGCAGGGGAATGTGGCCTTCCTGATAGGTATACTACAGCATTAGGGTTACAAAAGTGGTTCCAAAACCTGTCTTATCCTGTCCACCACACACGTGGTCCTGTCAGCCTTATGTATTTGCAGACTCTAAATTGCTTTCAGGCAGACTACTTTCCATTTCTTCTCTCTCTTTTTTTTTTTTCTGTGACAGTTACTTCCTATGTCTCATAAGCTACACCTGTTTATGCATTCCAGATGTTTGCTTTTCACAAAACATCATAACTGTTTTGGTAAAACTATAGGCCAGGACTAGGAGTTGATTAGGAGTTAGCTAGTGAGCAGTTATAATGCCTAAATCCTATTTTCAGCCTTTCTAGTTGTTCCGCATCATGGCTTTGTGTACTTCACCAGTCCAAACTGAATCTGTCACTTTGCACTTGGCCAGCATCTCACATTTCCAAACCATTTTTCCAATTCTTCAAAATCATTCTGCATTGTATTCCTGACCTTCAAAACACATGCAGTGCCTCTCAATTGTGAGAGGTTTGCAGATTCCATGTATATATTCTCTTCCATCCTGCAGTCCAGTGATGAAAATACTCAAGTACTAAACACAAGAGAGATCCCTGCAGACAGCCACTCAGTACATCATTCTGTGGACCATTAATGACTGTGCTCCTCAAAGCGTTTTCTAACCACTTTGCTGTACTTTGATTAGAGTGACACATTTCCTTCCAATGGAATTCTTCTCTGTAAGACTGAGACAAAAGCAGCAAAAAAAAGGAGAAACTTTATAAGATAGCTGAAGTATGATGAAATAAAAGTTAACTGTTCTCAGATCTAATCCCTGGATCTAACTCAGATCCAACAGGCAATTATGGAAAAGTCATTTTGCTTGACTGTTTCAATTTCCCTTCCTACAGAATGAAGGGAGAATATATACATCTCACAGAGGGGACTGCCAGAATAAGGTGGAGCCTGCAGAGGGCTCCAAGATCCTTAGCTGATAACTGCTATAGAACCACAAAATATTACTACATAAGACAATTAGTTTTAATGAGCTCTGCCACAGCAATTCCTATGTATCTGCCTTTAACATCAAGCTCTAGTAGAACTATGCAATTATCCCTTTATATTTCTCAAACTCTTTCTCTCTCTGTCTCCTGTCTATTTGATTATGTTCAGAAGTGTTGCTTTGATGGACACTTACAGGGCCAAATTCTGAATTCCTTCATATTTCATCCATTTCTTTCTCAAGCTACACTACAAATGAAGCCGATAGAAGTGAATAATTAATTATAACCGTGTAAAAAGTGAATAAATTACTGATTTTGGGGTGAATTTTTAATCTACATTTCATGCTAGGGTATTCTGATTAGTCAGATACAGTAAGAAGATATATTAATAGCTGTATAGTTAACTGATGCGATTGCTGCTGCACACATTTCTAGAGACAAGTATATTGTATATGTTGGATCTTCCACTTCCCCCCAGAAACCTGACTGCCCTGAACAAATCTATAGTTATCATCACTCAGCATTAGTTCATCAGAACATCCATAGAAACGGAGTCTAACTAAAGTAGATTTTGTAAGACCCTCTCCTTAAAGATGCCAGATTTCAGACTTGCATGAGAAGGTCTCACAGCATGTTGACACAGGACATAAACATAATTTCAGCTATTTTCTGTTGGGCACATTGAGACAAAACATGGTGCCCTTCACTCAGAGAACAGCAAGAGAGAGAACCACAAAAAGAAAGACCAACAGAGACCCATGAATCTCTCCAGGCTGAGCACACAGTGATGGCATCACTGAAAGCAACAAAGCTGTAATGACAGGCAAGGGGAGCAAGTGCTGCCCCAGGAAACCACCGCCTTCCATGGCCCCTGTAAACCTGCATCTGCAGCATGTGTTATCTGCTAGAGCCCTGGTAACAGTTTAAAAAAAAAAATGAAAGGAAGGAAGAAAGAGAGAGAGAAAGAGGAGGGAGGAAGGGAGGAAAGAAAAGTCTCATGCTCATTTACCTTTGAAAGGAAGCAAGGTTTGAAATAGCTGAGGTCAGGATCTGCTGGGAGTGTGGTCTTTCCATTGAACTCAAGGAAGGAAAAATACTGTATTCTTGTTATTGAGAAGAAATTACGTCTCGCTAGAGAGGCAGGCTCAGAGACTCAGGGTATAGTGTTTGTGCATGTTACAAGATATTCACCTTGTATCATTTAAGAGGTGCTGCTGCACGCCACCTACTCCTTTACAGGTAGTAGGTACTCTTCTGCAGAGCTGTTGAACATCTCATTTTTGTCTGCCATTCTATGCAGTAAGACAGGAAAAGCAGAAGTAAGGTAAAGGTCCAGATATGAGCAAGAAACACAGAGGTCATGATCATCTGTAGCTGATATAATCATCCTGAGGGCTGCATTTAATCCAAAACTAGCTAGACAACTCCAGAGATTTAAATTGGTAACTTGCAAAAAAAGGCACATCCCAAAAAACCCAACACCTGCACATCTGCACAAACACTAGGTGTCCCCCCCCCCCGTACCCAGAAAGCTTAACTGTTCTTGCACTACCAAGTGATTGCTTTTTTAGAGCTGAGTTGCCCAAAATATGTCTTTTGGGCAAAGCCTGACATGTAAGCATCTGTGCTGCACCCACTCACTGGATGAATAATGGACCTCAGTATTTAGGAGCATGTGCTCAACCAGTCAAGGAAAAGAAGTAATCGCATGTGATTTATCTCATAAATCACAATTAAGCAACACGCTTCGGATTCCTGATATTTGCTGGCACTGTTCAGAGAAGAAAAATAAAGGTAAAAAGGACAGGACTAAAAAAATAAGAACAATGAACAGGAGTTGCTCAGGTGACAAGAAATGTCTGAGCAGCTGTTCCCCTGACATTTCTGGCTTTATTTAACAGCAGTATTATGCCTGAAAATACTCTAACCAACAATAAAATCTTTAATTGTGAAACCACAGTCTGCTTCTTGAACATCTTTATGCAGAAAGAGGCTAAATATCATAAGTTCCTCATTACCAACTCTTTCCTCGGATCTACCAAATGTTTCTTTTCCTAGGCAAGTTTGCAAACCCTGAAAGAACAGACTAACAAATGCACTCCCATTGAACACCAGCATGAGAATGCCTTTCAAGTACTATTTTCACACTGATACCAATGGTGGCAATGCATTCATTTCACTATTCTCCAATGACGCAAGTTTGTATTCTCTCGTACTTCTTATTGACCAAAAAACGGATGGATTTAAGAAATAAAGTACAACTACGTCCAATGTCACCTTATAGCAGTTTCTCTTTATTTCCCACAGCCACAAAGTAAGTCTCATGGCCGCAGGTTACCTATCACGTTAATTTTTGTCTCTAGGAGTGCTTGTGTTGTATTTTTTTTTCCCTCTTAATGAGACATCCTTGCCAAGAGGGCATTCACAAGGCATTTTCTGCTCTTGCAGAGGAGTAATTAGGTCGGTGCCTTGTTCCATGCCAGTGTCAGGCACTCCAAAAAGCCGCCCTGCCCAGTCGTTAATGCTTAAACATAAGCAGCGGCATCTCTACTAATTGGTCTTGATGAAGCGCTGACGTTCCCAAAGGGACTCTTTATTTCACCAGGCTCGGGAACCGATTGACACAGGATGACAATATCATCCTTGCTGATCATCTGCATTGTGGGCCTTGGCTGTCTTCTTTGTTGTTATTTATTGAAAGAAAAAATAGCTCTTGGAAAAGAAAATCAACACACACAAACACACACACAAAAAAATGCATTCAGCCAAACCACTTTTGAAATCTTACACAAAGGCAGGCAAAATATATGTTCTGAGAAACAAACCAGCAGAATTTCCCTCACACGCAATCCAGTATTTCTATAATCACGTACTTGTGTGTGTGTGGAGATTTGGGCGTTCAGCCGCCAGCCTTCTGGGCAGCAGGCTGAGGTGGAAACCAAACAAGGTAGGCCAACCACGTGTGCGAGCCAGCCCAGCCATCAGCAAGAGCAAGAGCCAGCCTGGCAATAAAGCACCAGCTTGCATCGTTTGAGTGAATTCTGCATCAGCTTGACAGCCTTGGTACTGCATCTCCTCCTCTGAGTCTGCACACAGAGCAAAAAGGGAGCAGGGCTGCTGATGTTTTAGCATGCAGACTGCAAAACAGAGGAGACTCAGGAGTGGGAAAGAAAGCCCTATTCATAAACTACGGGCTAGAAATAGCGCATACTGCTAACTTTGTACATGCTACATGAGGATGAGGAAAAGTCCCATGGACAAAACATCGCCTTCTCATTTACCTTTTCTTTTTTGTTGCTTTGCTTTTATCAGGTTTAGTATAACCCTCCTGGGATCCAGTGCACTGAAATATAGCTTTTCATTCCCTGCATGAGAGATTTTCAAACAGTTTGGCAGACCCATCAGGTTGTGTCAACCCCCTAAAGAAAATAGGTGTTGCCAGACAATTAGCAGTCTGTGATATTAGCTATTTAAATGCAGACATGCTGTGATCGGGACTGGAGTCCAGCAGTTCGTTATGAACTGAGTCCCTGGAGCTTTTTGCTCCTTTACAAATTCCGTGCTTTTCTTTGATTTGATTCCATTCAGCTAAACATAGCCTGCAAACAGCCTGATATTTCTCAGTGCTTCATCCAAATCATAATCAGACTCTGGCTACAGAAGTGTACATATTATTATTTTTGTTTTCTCTTTTTATACGTCCCAGTGTTGTGCAGTGGATAAAAATTACAGGAGGCTCTTCTTAGGAGTAGTGTACAGGAATGGGAACTCTTCATTTATCATGTGGAGATGGCAGTTTGCTTTAAG